ACGACGACGACGCAGTACCTATAGAGTGGAGCAACTGCTTATTCAGTTTTATTCAACTATTTAGTCCCTCCACCGTTACAATGAATGGAGGCGGATATTACAATGTACGTAGCATTGCGAATATAAAATATCTAGATTAGGTATAATAAATTCATAATTGATAGGCCGTTACGGTATCAGAGCCAAAAAGTCTTCTTTCTTTGTACTGTTAGATGCGACAGCGACTTTGTTTTATACTACACTATGTAATGATTGATATACCTAAATTAAATAAAATATCTGAGGTTTGGACAAAAATTCAAAAGGTACTTTATTTTGAAAAAGTATTTTGAAAATACCTATTTTGCATTTAGTATTTGAAATACAAAACACAAAACTATTTTTGTTTTTAGAGTGACATTTCTATGAATTCACTGTCGATAGCGAGCGGTGCGATGGAAAAAGATAACCGTTTATAAAAATATAATAAATAACCCTGGACAATTAACACAGACTGATACTGAACTGATATAAATAGATATTTTTATTTTGTAAATACATATATAATATACATATAAAACACCCAGACCGATGAAAACAATCGATGACCGATGAGTACAAATGTTTGCATCGTGCGAGAAATCGAACCCGCGACCATCGGATGTAAAGCGGTGTGACCACCGAGGCAGTCGAAATATATAAATAATCTTATGAATTTAATTTATTCTAATTTGTTTATGTGCGCGGGGTGCGGTGTACGGTGCTCCCCCCAGCCTCCACCGTTGCTGGAGCTTGCATGTATGGAGCATTGCGAATATAAAATATCTAGATTAGTAAATTCATAATTGATAGACCGTTACGGTATCTATATATATTCGGATTAAAATAAGTATCGCAGTAAGGACCAGTATATAAAGTGATCAACACAATTAACTGATTTTTGAAATATATATACAGAGCCAAAAAGTCTTTGTGTATTCAAAAAATATCTAATTTGTTTGTGTGCGCGGGGTGCGGTGTACGGTGCAGGGGGACCCTGCCTCCACCGTTGCTGGAGCTTGCATGTATGGAGCATTGCGAATATAAAATATCTACATTAGTAAATTAATAAAGTCATAATTGATAGACCGTTACGGTATCTATATATATTCGGATGAAAGTAAGTATCGCAGTAAGGACGAGTATATAAAGTGATCAACATAATTAATTGATTTTTGGAATATATTCAGAGCCAAAAAGTCTTTGTGTATACCAAAAATTTAGCCGTTCGGAGCCATTCAGTCACGAATTATTAGTAAAAAAAGTGTCGAGTATATCGTACTATCGACGAATATATATGGCCGCATCGCAAAATAGAATGCGACGTTGCCATACCGCCTGAGATATACGCGATAGAGGTCAAGTTATTCAGTGCAAAAGGTGGAATCGGCAAGTGTTTAGGTTGTGGCGTGATCAACAAAGTGCCCAAAGAGGTGTTTATATATATATATATATATATATATATATAATTCCATTCCAGCATTTTTCGTTCCAGTACATTCGTATCTCAAATTTATTACTACATATAATGTATTCAATAACATAATGCAGTATGAGCATGTCTATGATAAATAAATAAAGTAGTAGTATGCATCTGTATGATTTAATTAACTATTTCGAAATTTGATCCATTATCCAATCCAATTGCATAACGACTGTCCTTATCTAGAATTCGTTATTTACACATAGAACATATCGCAACGATATAATGTATCTGATCGTATGATACGAATACAATATCGCTGTACTTACAAAACAGTTAGAGATATTTTAGTACTATTGCCAAATTGTATTACTGTGACATTTTTTTTAAAAGCCCGATAATATTGATTTATTTAGAACTTTAGATCTCAATAGAGATTTTTATAAATTAATGTAAAAAGAAATCCTAACGAATATAAAACGAACGCTACATTGGCATGTCTGAATTAAAAAAAATATATTGCAAAGAAATATATAGTATCGCTAATAATACAGGGATATACAAAAACTAAACGCCCAACAGGTCCCATTCATTGCCCGTTCAATATTTATAATGACATCAGCTTAAATTAATAAAAATGTATTTATATAGGTCAAGGCAATAGGTTGATTGATGATCTGAAATAGATCAATCAAAGGTGTACTCTCGGTTCATAATTGTTGTGGGTTCAATTTAGGTGGAATCTACCGGCTAAATTTAGACGTGATATGAATCAACATCAAATCGCAGGGATGTCAAACGGAAACCTTTTATGGGGTAAACTTACTCAAATTAACTCAAATATACGTATACAACATATAAATATGAGTAAAGAAATATATATATATGCGAAGCATTTATGGCGTAAGTATTAATCCCATCAAAAACATAAATGTGAAATGATAGCCGAGTTTAATATTATGATATATGCCTTGATTGTTGACTTCTACGACAAAAGTGGTGAGATCTAAATGGGTGCCAAGTTCAATGGTCTGACTTGGCCAGTTCTCATATACATAGACCTTAGGCTACAGTATATTATCCCAAGTTATAAGAAGAAATGATGTTTTATATTGTTAAAAATTATGTTAAATACATTTCAGGACAGACCATTGAACTTGGCACCCATTTAGATCTCACCTCTTTTGTCGTAGAAGTCTACAATCAAGGCATATATCATAATATTAAACTCGGCTATCATTTCACATTTATGTTTTTGATGGGATATCATTACTTTTTGTACATAAATTATACGAGGTACTTATTTATAACTAAATTAATACCAAATTATTTTTGATAAACTACTGTATTTTCGTATGTTTACTGGGGTGTAATTGTCTTTTTTTGTGTTATTTTCTTGTAACTTTTAAATGTTTGAGTATCGATGTACGCTAAATATTGAAACAGTAATTAATACCAAATCTCAGTTAATAACATAATAAATACGAAATTCGACTATACTCTTAGTTATAAGTACGAGTATATTTTAGACAGAATATAAATTATAGCAACTAGTGTTTACCGCTCAATGCAATATTTGAAGTTTGCCAGTTATCGACACTGATGTGAAGGGGTTAACGTAAATTGGTAATGATCGTAGTTTTCATACAATATTACTTTCCGTCCAGTACAAGATGAGCTACCTGGTAGTCAGTGATGGATCAAAGTTAATTGGTGGCTATCGACGTTTTCATACAATATTACTTTCCGTCCAGTACAAGATGAGCTGTAGCCAGTGATGGATCAAAGTTAATTGGTGGCTATCGACGTTTTCATAGAATTTTAGTATTCGTTCAATATAAGTTGAAATAGAATCAATTAAAGTGAAAAATTATAATAAAATGATAACAATTTACCAGTTTCAGATTTTTTCCTTTATATTCACCTAATTACCTATCTGCATGCCAAATTTGAACTTCCTAGGTCATCTGGAAGTGGGTTATAATTTTGATCTATAGTTGATCAGTGATAAAAATGACGATATTTGGACGTTAATATCTAAATAACCGTTTGAGATATGTTTATGAAATTTGGAACACATATTTATCTCGCAAGTCTCAATATATGAACAAAATTTGACAGGTTTATGTGAAAGAGTTTTTGAGTTATGAGGGGGTCAAAAGTGGCTCCAAATGGTTCGTGTAAATATATATATATACACGGTGCTGCTCGCCAGTTCTCTTACTTGAAACTCGGCTTGACACGCTGCCGCGTGTCTAGATTTTATATCAAGACACAAGTAGAGTGACCAGGTTTAACCTAACAGATATTGAACACATCCTTATTCCTACCAAGATATTCTGGTATCTGTCATTATAATGGAGGAATTACTTAACAAAAGCATTGAAATTATGTTAATCATGAGTACGTCGTACATCAAGCCCTTTAAAATGTTTACTCTTGAAATCAAATTATCGCTCTATATAGACAAATCTTTCAAGTGACGATAGTAATCCTTGACCTTGCTACGTTAAATCTTAATGAGTAAGATTACACACTGAGTAACTCGTAAGCTACATAATAAAGATACATGTTATAACAAGTAATGTGTAACACGGATTTGAAATTCGATATAGTAATAAAAACTAACTGTTATATACAGTTTACATTATAAATTCGCTAATTCTGAACCAATTAACACGATTATTTGGAAAATCATAAGAAAACAATGGGAGTTGTATCAATTTTATCACATAGAAAACAACTTCTACCAACACCATAAGATGAAACAAAGAATGCTCATAAAAATATAGACTCAAACTTCAAATATTTTTTTACCACCCATAATTTATTTCCACGAAGCGAAAAACACAGAGCACGATATGTAATTAGTTCATAAATAATTGCAAAAGTTTTCTGCAGTATATCGTCATCGCCTGAAGCCTCAGACACAAAAAATCACTACGTATACAAAAGAAAAATAGGAAAACAATGCATTCCAATTAAATATATGTATGTGGACACTCCCACACAATTTCGTCTTATTTCGGATTATCAAAATCTGTTAAAATCAAAATTAATAGCTTGCTTAGCTTTGCAATGCATGTTGCGTTTTTTTATTTCATAGTCTGTGGAGCTCCTTAACCTTGATAAATAATAAAAAATTAAAGATTCTTTCGTGTCTCTATGACTGTTCCTTTATCCGAGTTAATAAAATATGTAAGAAAATTGTAATATTTTCATATCGTGTTTTACTATAGTATGCACATATACTTATGTGTATATTTGCCAATATTTTGTTAGTCTGTAGCATACCTACCTAGTGGCTGTTCAAATAATCTAATCTAATCTAATTTATATATATATAGAATTATTTGTTGTGACTAATTGACCTGTCCTCCATCACTTAATCCGCTGAATGTACATAAATATGAAATCTGAATGTAATTATTCTTATATCTATCTATCTTATATCTATGTATAATTCTTATATATCCTGAATATTTTTGAAACTTCATCGGAAACGGTTCACGCGAGTATAGTTGCAAATAAGTGGTATATATAATCACTAAATACGTACCATTAGGCGAGTAGACTCGCAAGTTGATGGGTACTGGCGATATCCCTTTATTGGAACCGGTGATGCGGTCAGTCTCCGCTTCAATCTCACCGCGCACCTCATTGAAATCCACAAACTTCTTCCCCTTGCAATGAAGAAACTCCGCATATTCTGTGGACAATATTTAAAATATAGTACAGGTAATGGTTGATAACAGGTAATGATGTTATAAACATATCTTTCGACGTAATCAGAGTACGTTTTAGCTTAAAATTTTGAAATCAGTAAACATATGTTCCATCAGTAAGTTTTATCATTAAGGACCAAGTAAAACGATAACAGGAATACTATGGATTAACAAGGGAAATATTTTTTAAACGATAACACATTATATATTTAAGATTTGGAACACAAAATTTATGAGTAGGTATCGTAAATCAATTACAATATTCCTACAGGTATATAAACGAAATTCCAAAGAGGTTAGAGATATTTCTAACTGGAATATGTCTCAAGGAACATCAAAAACAACACAATTCAATTCCCCAGGATGGGTGACAAAAATATGTTTTAAATATATTCCAAGGGAAAGTAATTATCATGATCTACATCACGATATGGATTGATAACCCTTCTATTCATCTCGAGATCACGAAATGCTGTGGTTCACAATATTTATTGAATGTGTATATATATATATATAACATGTATTGAATCCTTCGCCAATCTTAACAAACCCGACGAATTTGTTCAATGTCAACTAATGTTGTTGAAAACCTATTTGTTATTCTGAAAAATAGATAACAATATTTAATTTTGGGTAAAGCCACAATGATGTATGTTTTTTTCATATCTGTTTGCACTGTTACGGTGGCTAAATTCAGTGCTGTACCTTGTATACGGTAAATCCAAAACTATCTAGTGATATAGTGTAACACTTGGCATAAAGCTCTGGATTCAAATCTCAGTAGGGTTAATATACAAAAATATTGTAATTTTCATTTATTAGTTAAAATAGTTGAGACAAGTAAATTAATGTTTTTTTTACATAAAATGGTTGCTGGCTGCTTTGAGCGGAAGGCTATTGACCTATACGATCATGACCGCGAAAAGTTGATTATCTAGGTGGTAGGTACCACCTACAACAAAGGAAATCCGAGAATTTATCATTTTACAACCCGACTTAAAAAGAATCGAATATTCTCAATTCGACTATGCTTATATTAGATTAAGGAAATTGTACTAAATACAAAAAATACTGAACAAAATCTAATCGTCTATCCATTATTTGACATATTCCAAACATAGAGCTTGTTCTCGACATCCAAATAATTCAAATGACCATACATTGGTAACTTTATAAAAAAACATGAAATTGTCTCATGGTCAATGCGCGGCAATTATGAAGACTCAAACAGGGTGTAGTTACAATAATAGTAAGCTAATTACTCGTTTTGACATTCAAAGAACAGTTGAAGGTTAATATACAGCAATTTGTACGTGAAACAAAAAGTTGCATCACTCAACAAGCATCCGTACTGCGATGTGTTGGGTATTATTTTAGTTTAGATAATGAAATGATCATGGGCAATATTCATTGCGTTCCTTTCGCCGTGCGTATTACAATCACAAGTGTTCATAATGTTACGTCCTATAAACAACAGATACGATTTAAATAATAAAAGCAAGTTTAACTATTTTTAACGCAATAACAACCATCGGAATCTCATATGTGGGCAGAAATCCCTCAAACTTGTGATGGTTTAAGGGCAGAATGTCCCTCACGCCTCTCCATACATAACGTGTTAATATGTCAATTTTTCACAACAACTAATTAAAGTCGATGAAATTTTGTACATAGGTAACTAATATCAACGTATCCGACTAGTCAGATTTTCTTAAACAAGTATGTTTCAGATTTACATAACTGAAAAACTTGATTTTCACCAAAAAAGTGACCTACCTTTAGCTCATTCCCAAAAACTATCCAACACGGTATAAAAATATGCAAGATATTACAATTAGAATGAATTTTCAAAATAACGAGTAAAACTATCTTTATATTTACAGTAATAATACAGTAAGCCGAGTAGAGCGGAACATATATTTACTGCAAAATTTCGATTGTAAGTATTGCTATCACGTTTGGGTGAGGAAATACGCAAGGTAATACTCTGAATTGAGTTAGAATAAATACTGAAGAATACCTATATCGTATTTTTTTGCGTCAACACACCCTTCTGTTGTTGTATAAAATATGCATTTTGAGATGGGGGGAAGGGTAAGGGTATATTAGTTAGCGCAGGCGGATGAACGATTCCATTATGATCCATAAAAAATATCCGAAAAATGCAGTAGAAGTTTATAGTAGTAATAAAATTTTTCTTTTCAATTAAATCCCTGTAACACTATAAAATACGAAATTTACATTTGCAACAAAGAGACAATAATACACAGCGACATCTAGTCCCATATTAAGCAATGCTTGCTTGGTATGGGTACTAGACAACTGATATAAATACGTATAATTTTTTTATTTGTTCATTTTTTGTAAATACATACATACAGACCGATACAAACAATCATAGATATTAATACAAATATTTGTAACTTGCGGGAAATCAAACCCGCGACCATCGGAAGCACTGTCAGCGGTGAGCTCAACCGCTAGACCACTGAGGCCTTCAAATATTATAATACATACATGAATAGAGATTAAAGTATGTGTAAACAAAACATAACTCCACAAAGCATTACAAATAAATAAAATATACAACTATAAGGCAATAAAGTGCAATTTAGTATGCATGTCCTTGTTTTCCCGAAAATTTTAAAAGTCAAAATATTTTCCTCTTTCTTACGCAGAGTCCTTAGTCAAGGACAAAATACTGATACTGATCATATAATAGACCGAGACGTATGATAGTCCTAACAAAAGAACACGGAAAATAAAATATATTAAGGACTGGATCAATAGTTTCTATCTTAAGCCAACAATATTTTATATATGAGGTTATTACAATACAACATAGAATTACAAAAAATGCTCTCTATGGCACTTTGGCATTATACAGTTATAGAAATTGATCAATTGGACCAACTGACATTAATTCCATGAACGTCTTAGACAACATAACTACCAATATACATATTAAGATGTTTAAGGAAGCATAGTTACTAGAATATTAGCTATGACACATTTATCTTAAAAATATCTTTTGTCTAGGTAAATATGTTAACAGTTAACTATTAACACAATTTCTGTTTGAGCCTCGAACCATTTTATAGATGACCAATCGGAGGTTGCATTATTAGCATCATTATTATTTTAATTAAACTGTCATGCACATACCTGCATTAGCATTTATGAGTTGGAGGATCAAGGGCCGACGTGTTACTATTCCAGAGCCCCGAGGTAAAAAATCCCTGTAACAAAGAAAATGATTGATGCATTACAAGGAAAAATAAAAACTGTTTCAATATAATGTGTTTAAATATTGAACAATAAAAAAATAGTTAATTGATTTTTAAAGTATTCGTTTTAATGTATTTTGCCTTTTTTGTCATTAACAGACATCTATATCATATTTGTGTACAATGTGACATATATAATATTTATTAACATGCAATGTTAATAAATATTATATATGTCACATTATTATACATATCACATTTATAGCATGTAAGTGTGTTTGACCACTCTCAATGACTTGAAGAATTGTGTGTGATGTTATGGTACAGAAATAATATGGTTTTGGAATGGTGTAGGCCAAGCCACTCAATATATAAATAAATATTCTTTTATTAAAAGAGGAATTATATCATCACTGAGGCCTTATTAGAGTCATGATAATTGGTTTTTATAATATTAACTACAAAGCTAGATAAATATATTATTATTTGCATATATATAGTTTCTAGGTTAACCATAACCTAGTATCATAGGTAATATTATTGCAGATCGTAATCATAACTCTTTATTGCATGGAGAAAAAAATACAATTGGACAAACAGTGTAGAAGAAAGTAAGAACAAACTGTTGTCTTATTGCTATAAGCAATTTCTTACTAGACAGTTTGTTTAGTAGTTTCTTTTTTTATTTCCGCACAACTGGAGGGCTATGGTAGTTTGTCTGATATAATTTTATTTGCCATTAGCAAGTTTGTTCCAGGATTATTCAAAACATTATACTTCAATCTTTAGATACATTTTCCTCTAAAATTGGAATATTATAGGAAGGTAGCCATTTTCATATTTAAGAAATGAAGCTTATTCTTTAATTATGACTAAGTATATATTTCTATTAAATATTTTAAGTGTTCTACTAGTGAAGCTCATGCCAGGAACTTACATTTGATAACATTAATCATATATAGGCCATGCATTTTAACAAAGATAAAGCATCTGTGTAATATCCTGCCACCATAATTTGAAAGTTATTTCTTTACAGTATTTTGGTTATAACAGTACAAGTCTGACATAGCCATGTTTATAACCGAGACAATAGGTTACACAGTAACAACTTTAGTTGTGTTTTAGAAATAGAATAAAAAGAAATGGGGTCCTGACATTAAAGAGAACAAAGTATAGGTGACTTGCATAAACACTATACTTTATGCAAGTGTGTCTCGATTTTTGGGTATAAATTGATTGGAACATATAATATATATATATATATCAATAATAAAGAATGTATCAAAGACCACCAGAACTACAAACAAACCATTTATATGTTTTAAAAGTTATAAATCTGATTTTTTTATACTACTTAATTCAACTACAACAACTTTTGTTTTCATGTGGCTCATGCAAAACAAGGCTGGAATACGATTACGTTCTAATGTAAAAATTTCATAAAGTCCTTGATGTTTATTCAATACCATGACCAATTGTTTGGAATCTACTGAAGATGTGTGATGTATGACTCATGATTAAACCTTACTTTGAAGTAACTAAAAGTAACTGAGAATGACAACATTTAAAATCTTTGTTTGAACATTTAGAATTTCTATACAAACAATATCGAATTTGAATATAGATAACATACAAGGAAAAACAGATTGTTAATCATCTTATTGCTGCTGAGGAATTCTCACCTGCCAACAAAATTTTCTAATACCGAACTTTTTCCAGCGGACTGACCACCCACAACTGCAATTTGTGGAAGGTCTAGGGACATGTGGACGCCCATCTGAACGAATGCATCTTGTAATTTGTTTACAATAGGAATCAGTTGCTGCATTCCAAAATTTCCAGCCATTTTTAATCATGTATATATATTGTTTACACTTAATAAAACACTATAACACTAGCTCATGATCAGTTCATAATTGATTGATAAACTAATTTATTTTTCAATATGGTGGTGGGTAATTGTTTCAATTCAACTTTCCAGTTTCGATAGCTAATAGTAATGACTGTACTGTACTGACTGCCAGACTGTCAAGTGTCAGTGTCACTCAGTGTCAATATAAAGAACGTAGGACAGACTACCAAATAAGTTTTATTTCTTACTGCTCTAAGTTTCCGGATGAAATACCATTGCCTAAAAATTTCATTAATTTATTTAAACCAATATAAGCAAAATAAAACATTTAATATCCATTTAACTGGCCAAATAATACTTCCTACAATTTCAGATAATCAATAGAAGTTGACATGCGCAACAAATCTAGGCCAAATATGAAACGAATAAAAATAGGTTGGAAACTCAATAAACATCTCTTTCGTAACATAACAATATTGTTATTGTTACTTTCCAATTGCTTGTCGATTATAATAAATGAAAATCAATGGATTATAACATAACACTATAAGTGTTATGTACCGAATGGCGTAAGAGGAAAACATACTGCGCCGACTCCGAAATAACGTAACAAGGAACCTTCTCTTATTACGTTATTTGGAGTTTTAATGCTAATAACGATAAAAAAAATCGAAAGCCCTGTTAAAACAAAAGTAATTGTTCCTTTCTCCAAGTTTTTCTATGAAACTCTATTAGAAGGCAGCTTGTTATTGACTGTTAAAAAACATAAATATATAAATAATATTCATTACGTAATATTTATAACATACCTTTGCGATAACAAGTGGGTATATTTTAATATTAATGATATATAAAAATTACTTACCTTCCAACGAAATTTTCTAACACTGAACTCTTTCCAGCGGACTGACCACCTACAACTGCTATTTGCGGTAAATCCAATTGCATATGCACACCAAGTTGTGTAAAAGCATCTTGAAGCTTATTCACAATTGGAATCAATTGTTCCATTCCTATATTCCCGGACATGGCTGCCGGTTTTCTCAGACACTCCTCGTTTTATGAGCTACTTCAGTACTCCGCAGAACTTCATTTACTGATTTTTCGTTCATCAATATGGTTCAAGATCCATAGCGCAGGCGTAGATGACTAGAGAAGGATAGTCGATTATATAGCTTTCTCTATACAAAAACTGAGCTATCAACATAATATATATCATCGACGATTGAACCCTTTATTAGAGTAATAACTACTAGAAGCAGTCGTGACCTACACTTGCATATAATTATTTAGAATCTTAACATTTCAGATACATTTAATAACATATAAGGATTATAAAAACAATTATTCCGATAACAAGTTAGTAGACGAGACTACTTGCACTACCTATATTCATCTATAATAATTAAGAATACGTACCTACATGCTTTGACGATGTAATAATAGGGACAATTCACACAGCGTCCTCTAGTCCAAATCTAAGCAGAGGTTGTGTTAAAGGTGCTCGACAACTGATAGAAATACTTAACAAATACTTTTTTTTGTAAATACAAACATAATATACATAGAAAATACCCGTTATACTCATGACTAGAAATATTTGCATATTACGAGGAATGGAACCCGCGACCATTGGAAATAAAGCGGTGTCCTAAACAGCTAGAACATTGAGGTAATTCTATATTACTTTTTATGTTAACTACCTCTTTTTGTAATTTACTGCCTTTACCTGTGGTGTTACAAACTGATTTGATTGGTACAAAGTTTGGTGAAAGTACGTGGCACTGATTAGTAATTTTTAATAAGTGTTAAACGATCTAGGTCGTCAAAACACTCAAAGTTACCGAAGGATACTCACCGGTCACAAAGCTCAGCTAGTAACTCTGATATGTATTAGTGTCAACAAACAAATAGCTTACATAGATTGTGGAATTAAATACCTACCTGCTGACTATTTCTCTTGAGACCACGTTAAGGTGGCTCTAACATGATAAATTTCTAGCAATGCGATTACTGTTCCCATTTCACTCCATCCCCGGGTTTATACATATACATAGTATTGCGACGAATTTAAAATAAATGAAGATATCGTATGTGGAGATTGGTCGTAGCAGTATCAAGCTATAATTAAAATACACATAAAAAAATATATGATGTAATACTGCTCAATCTCGTACTAAAACTAATGTTTATGATTGTTCGGGCATTTTGTACGTATATAATTTGAATGGTAATTGTTGTCCAATTTAATATAAATAATAGAACGTTTGTCACATAGCCCCTATGTGATAAACATTCTATTGGTTATGTTGACTTGAAATTGTCAACATTTTAGTATATGTCATATATTATTATGCATTTGTAATACCGTAAACCCGAAACTAATAATTAAATTCGTCGTCAAATTAACGAATTAATAATACGACTAATTTAGTAACGAAATAAAAATACGAAATCGTACAAGTCCGCTAAATTGGTTTGTTAGACTAAGGTGGCGCCACTGTACTCTGTTATCAAGGAACTAGTTACTCACATATAATAAATATATCCGTTAAATATAAAAGTTTTTAACTGACATTTCCAAATTCATTATTAATATTTTATAATTGTAGCAATCGTAATTATTTTTTATAAATATAATTACGATATCTTAATAGTACGGGATTTAAAAAATGTACTCGAAACGAAATATCTCCCAGAAATTAAATTATAATACAATCTATATTTGTACTGTCTATATTTATATTATTCTATATGTGTAATGCCGAGGCTTTTGTTCATGGAATAAATTTGAGATAAAGTATTGAAATTTCCTTACGTTATAATCCAATTATGCTCTCTATCGTAATAACTTGAAAATTGTCTTTTTTATTTATTCTGTGGCATTAATTTTGCTATTTTGCCAATAGAGAGCGCTTTAGCGCGTCTTTGTCTTTGGCCTTTGTGACGTCACTCTATTGATTGTGAAAAAAAAGGAAGGAGATCGTCTTTTGGTAGAGACGCCATCTTAAAATAAAGTGATATAATTTTTTGGTATCGTAGAATATAATAAAAATCTAAAGTAATCGTTTTTAAGAAATTAGCTATCGAGCTTAGACTATTTATATTTCGTAATACCAAGTATAACGGACCAAGGTATATACGTATTTTTCTTTTGTTGTTTCGTATATCTGCAAATATTTGTTTGTTATTTACCGTTCTTTTAGTTCTATCTTGTCAGTACCGTTATTTAGAGCTTCAATTTGGTTATATGTACTGGCCTCTTCTGTAATCTAAAAATTAATAGTGTAAAAATCATATGTCATCGATCCAGCGTTCATTGTACGGATGTAACACGTCAATAAAGCTCCGAGGGCAGGGCTCCAATTCAGTTTCCCAGTGCTGTGAAAGTGATTTGTGTTACGGTGTCCAGTGCTTTCCTGAAGTGTCGTTCGTAATATAACTAAAAGTACTTATTCGTTGGACTATTGTACGAAAGCTGCAGTGTATTAATGTATTTTTCGTCTGTGTGCCATAAATTACTTAGTGAAGTGTTCGTTGCAATGGTTGCAGTTGGTGGTCGGAGCGAGGGTGACCTCCTGATGGTGTGTACATCGCAGCATGTCTGCACTCTCGACGCCGGGCGGCGGAGGCACTACGGCGCAGTCGAAGCCGACGTCCGGCAAGCAAAAATATCAAAAGTTGGACATCAATAGCTTGTACTGCACCAATAGAGTAAGTACTTTGATAAAACAATTATAGTTCATTATTAAAATTTCGTTATAACCTTGCAAATGGGCAGTAATGAATATTACATAGTACTAGTAAAGTAATATCATAATTGATGTTTACTTATGAATACAATGTGTCCCCATCATTGTAATTAAAAATTATAGGCTTTGAAAGCTTTACATAGACATTTACATAATACATACTCTTACATTAGAATAAATTCACTTTGTAATAATGCACTTAACAATATTGAATTTGTTAATTTATTATTGACCTCACTTCTTCCTTTTCATTAATAATAAGAAATGACAATCAAATTTAATTGTTGTTAGATTTGGAATGGATTGCATTCTTTAGAATCACAGTGATGTGTAATCATATTTTATTACTATAATTATTTGTACAATTTTATAATCTTTTGTACTTTACAATCTGTAGTCTTTGTTATGTGAGGTCAATGACCTATGTAATGTCACTTCATAGATTTTTTTCAACAGTAGCTTAAAAGAATTTTTAGTAATAATGGAATTTGTTTTATTATGACTCATAAGAACAAAATTTTACAAGTTACAAAATTGTAATATTCTGTAATATCTATTATGATTAATACAAAAATATAATTGGTTTTGTAGAAATTTTTGATTTTATCTAAATTATTAAATAGGTAGGTTAAGATTTATTGGGTCATAAAGATACAATATAAATATATATATGTAGATGTATATTTAATAAAAATGTGATGTCAATAAAAATAATATTATTCAGACAGTTTAGGCAGTAGGTTGACATAAACTAAAAGAAAGAATATTATAGTATGTAATGTTAGTAGGCTTTTTTTTTGTAATTTAATTATATCAAGGTTTCAATTAATTTGGCTATATTATGGTTTGAAGATAACTTAGAAATATTTTGGCTACTCTGTTGATGCAGTAACATTTAGCTGTATGTATCACTATCATTGAACATGTAAAATAATAAAAAATACAAACATACAAAACCTAATGCAAAAGTAGTTTCTGATATTGTTTTAGTTTAGTCAATGTAGATAAATCATATATTAGGGAATTAGGGAAATATTGCTAATGTAGGCATATACACAATATTGTTTGTGAGGAGATTTAAAAGTATTGTAGGAGATAATTTTGTTCTGGGTAAGTGCGCAACATTTTTTTTTATACTATGATGGTTGCAATTAAGCATACAGCCCTTCTGATGGTAAATGATTACTGTATTCTATGGACGCCTGAAACACCAGGGGTATCATGTGTGAGTTGCTGACCCTTAAGAAACCTTAATATAAAACTCTTCTTGAAAACACTATGATGTAGTCTAGTGAGAAAACCTCGGCAGGAAGTTCATTCCACAATTTAAGTGTACTTCCATTTTTTACATTCTTGGACTAGGCATAATTACCCATCAGATATATAAAAAAGAAATCCTCAAATTATCAAAAAATAACATAAAGAATTATTATTTTTGACTATTTTATAATATAATAATATATATATATCAAAAAATGAATAACAAAAAATATTGACATACATTATTATCATTTTATCTAATAATGATTGTAATTCTAGGTAGAAACGTTTTCATTTTTTAGCAAGTTATTTTAGTTTCACTTAAAACAAAGGAATTATTTCTAATTTTTTTATCCTTTGGCATTCTCAATATTTTGAGAATGTGGAAGAGCTTTGTTGTTACTCTTTTCAAACAAAAGTCTAAATATCATCCAAGATTAAAGAAATCAATATATGTGACAAATAATTTATTTCTGTCACAATAGTTACATACATAATTTATAAAAAACTAACAAAATAAAATATATTTGTAAGAGCATACTTAAAGAAAATCTATTTTACTTTTCAGAACGAAAGCTCAGAACCGTCCCTAGTGAAATCTCAACTAAGTCGCAAACATGGAATGCAAAGTCTTGGAAAAGTACCTTCGGCAAGGCGCCCACCAGCCAATTTACCTTCTTTAAAAACTGAGACTGGTCAAGATCCTAACTCTAAGTAAGTGAATTAGAATATTTAGGCAGTGAAATTAATCATTATTCAGCCATTCACCATCCACAGTCATCCACCATAGTGGTGAGTCTGTAACTCCATGCAACAACAAGTAACTGATTTGTGATGTATTGCTCAGTACCTCTGGGTAGTCATCAATTTTGATCTTTTATTCCCATTAGTCAAATTGTTTCTTCAAACTGAAGTGTATAGATAAATAATAATGGGCTCATAAAAACAACCCAACATCTTATGAGTTTCTTGAAACTTTTTAATTGTTCCTTCTATTTTATATTTATTTGAATATTTTATTAACTTTGCATATTTGTTTAAATAATAAAGTATACTGTACTATATATAATTATTAAGCATTTGTACATAATTAAAATTTCATATAAAAAAATAATAATTTTTTTTTTTAATAACCCTTTAAAGTGCACTGAATTGCATTTTTTGAATTCACAAAATTCTGAATAACTCTTTAAATCATTAACTTTCGGTCAAACATATATAGGGCCAAAATGATTGCATTTGAGCTCCTCTATCTCGTCCTGACAGGAATACGGCGAGTTACCAGTAACCCTGTATACTATATAATACTATATTTCTACTTAAACCTGATGCATTATTTATAGTGTCATTGATTTGCATAATAATAGTATTACTTTTCTTTCAGTTCTATTACTGCTGTTACTACAACTGTATCTACTCCAGCAACATGCACTTCTCAGACTACTGTGAGTTTTGTTTGTAGATCTGTCCTGATTGTTATTGAATTTTTAGTAATTTTAACTTTATTATCTATAGTATCAGAAATAATAATATATTAAAACTTTTTGGTTATCATTTATTTTGTGGTGATAGGTATATAATTTTTTTTAATATTTAAGGTATTTAATGCAAAATACCAAAGTATAAGCATAATATAAAGGACTAATAAAAAACAATTTGTAAATGTACCTTGGTTTACAAAAACATCAGAGGTTCATGAGTCTATCAATACAGACACAGTAGCTTAAATCTTTGCTGCTCCAAATACAAAACATGGCTAGTAAATCATCCCAATTTGGTAGCCAATCAACTGATAGTCGTGAAAGCATATGGTACCTCTATAGGCGTAGGTTACTGGAACACAATGACTAATTATGACCATCTGAAGAGATGATGATTCTACTGAGAATCACACTCCGTAAATTTTACATCATCTGGTCATAAAGAAAAAAAGCAAAACAAAATGTTAACTTAGTCTAAACCAAATAAGATTTCCATTAATATGATTATTTTCAGCCTACGACAACTACTCCTGGTGTGGCTGTGACCACATGTGCAAGCGGCTGGGTATCACTTCCTCCACCATCATCACCACACTTCCGCACAGAGTTCCCCTCATTGGAAGCTGCTGCTCAACCTTCACATCGATCAGCAGACCACGCAACCTCACAACCACAGCTCAGACCACAAAGTAAGCCCTAATGAAATAGTGCTTAATGAAACAGCTCTATACTGTATCTAATTTCACCGGTTTTTCGATATATGTATAAAGCAGCTCATAAAATACGGGTGCGTTATAAACGCAAATAGCAAAGTTATGTTTCATATTGAATTATTGGCAGCCGCGTACATCACAGTTTTGAGTTTATTAAAAATGAAGTTTGTTGAAAAACATCGTAAGATATACGTGCGTATTTAAGACACTCCGCTTTATTACGCCCTCGACTTCTGCTCGTATTTATATAAGTTATATACTGTTATGTTATTATACTATACTATTATAGGGTTTTATTGAATACTACTGTTAAATTGCAGGATCCTTAAATTCTATTTTTATTCAAAGTAATTAAATCTGCTTAATATATCATTTATTTGCATATAATTATGATATTTATATTTTCTCTTTTTAGGATAAGTTTACTAAAGGTGCTATAAGGACAAAATTTAGATTTATATTTTTAATCACTATCCTAATCTGTTGCCATTTTGTAATGAGTATTATATTTATAGATAACAATAGAGCTTTATCTACAAGCTAACGGCTTGTGATTTTTTAAACCTGTAATTGAATAAATATTTTGTCTTCTCATTCCTTTTGTCTGTTTCCAAAATATATGTCGGCCGAAATACACCAAATCTCGCTAAATATAGTTCAGATCATACTTATAAATGTTATTTGACTATTGTGTTTGTAGCGGAAGGCAGCTGGACGTCCGGTGGCACCGCCGGCGTACGTCAAGAGACCACATCACCCGCCGCCGCGCCCGCCTCCACGCCCGCCTCACAGCAAACTCCCGCCTACCGCGCTATACTGCCATCCTTCGTATGTATCAAATTAATTATTAGACACACACAAGTTCACCTAAATTTTACTTGTTTATAATATAAATGTAATTATATTCTTAACTTTTTTATTTATAATACGAAAGTAAACTTTGTCAGACCTAAAAATGCATGTGGTAAAATATTATGTTTATTTTGACAGCTGATGAGAGGTAGCCCCGGTAGCGGGCTCGGGTTGGGAACATTGAATACGCTGCGAGACAATAGAAGCGGTGGTAGTGTAAATTCAGGCAGCGCCAGTAATACCAACGCCGGAGGCCCGCGCCAGCCACCTCGCCCGCCGGCCACACCGCGAGCCGTAGAAGTACTTACTGCTCGCCCTATTCTACGTGAGGAACAAATTTCTTCACTAGATGATATCTCACGAGACGCTGGATGGGCACAACATGACGATATTGACTATGAGTAAGTTCTTTAAATTTATACAAATCTTGTAAATTGCCCGAAATGTATGTTATGTATGTATTTTAAAATTATTCTTATTTTCAGTCAAAAGTTGGACTTTTCTGATGGAGAGTCGTCGGCTCCAAGCAAAATAAGTAATAAGAATAACAACCGGACTAGTATAGAAGTAGAACATGTTGATAATAAAGTTCATGAGCCGGCTGATGAAGAGCAACTATGGGCAGAGCGTAGACTGAAACAGAATAATGAAGTAGCTCAAGTAATAGCTCGTGCCCGGCAAAGAAAAGAAGAAGAACAAAGACGACAGACTGCGCGAGACACAGTTGCTCCATTGCAAGTCCAGCAATGTAAAGATTCTCGTGACAGGGTGGACAGAGATCGCAATGATAATAGGGATAGAGATTCTGATAGAGAGAAGGATAGAAGCGATATCAGAGATAGGGAACGTGCAGATAATAGAGATCGCTTGGATAATAGAGATAAAGATCGTAGTGATCGTGACAGGGAAACAAGAGAAAAAGAGCGGGCGGAAAATAATAGGATCGAAAACAGAGATAGATTTGATAACCGAGACCGAGAACGTGATAATAGAGATAGAGATCGCGAAAGAGACAGATTAGACAGTAGAGACAGAGGCCGCATTGATAATAGAGATCGCCAAGATAATGATAAAGACAGAATAGACCCACGGGACAGGGATCGTAATGATAATCGAGATCGTGGCGATCGTATTGATCGTGATAGATTCGATAGGGAAAGAGATCGAGAACGTGAACGTGTGGATAGAGATAGAAATGATCGCGACAGAGATCGCGACCGTGATTTTAGAGACAGAGATCGCGATTATGGCAGAGATCGTGATCAAGGTAATCCAGCATTTTCAAAGACCTTTCAAGCTAATATACCACCCCGATTTTTAAAACAACAACAAAATCGCCAAGAGGAACAGCATAAGTCGTGGGCGTTTTCTGGAAAGTCCGCTCCTAGACGGCAAGAGCCTCCTCCATATAACGCTCCGCGCCATGCCCCTCACAATGGTCGTCGTTCATATTCAAGGTAAATTCATCTATTGAAAAATTTAAAGTATAAATATTTTGAAAATATTATATTGCCTACAAAATTTATTTTGTAATTTAATAACGCTTTTCTATTATAGTCTTGCGCCACCTTTTTGTCTTTATTCCCATTGGTTAACCGATAAGTCCACTTTTTATAATTTACAGAGCAAGAAGCTCTTTAAATTATGTTCTTCGTTATACATTACTGGTACAATAAAGAGTTAGTAGTAAATAAATGACTGTACAAATTTGGATGAAATTTTCCTTTTAATTAATATGGATTCCAGGACTAGACATCTACTGGATCTGCTAGTATATATATCTATTACTCATGTAATATATATCTTTATCCTTTATGTTGTTACAGTACGTAATATATAATTATTCTTTCAGAGATTATTCTGATCGTGAAGATGATTTCCGAAGAGATAAGGATGGACCTGGACCGCAATGGCGGTCTGAAATGCAAGATTATGAAAAACCTGCAAGAGAGTTAGATAGATCTAACTCTAAAGATTCATATAAAGACTATGGTGAATATAAAGATAGAAGGAGTGAGTCAGATCGAAAATCCATAGATAATTGTAGTACTATAGAACATAACAGCAGAACTGCTGCTGATAAATTGACAGAAGTATTTGAAAGAAAAAGTATAGGTGTTACTGACTCTTTTCCTTCGTCTGATTCTTCAACGCAACCACAGACGCAAGAAAGACGTAATTCGCCTCCTTCTAATGTAAATCAGCGGGAATCTTCTGAAAGAGACTTAAGCAAGACTTCATGGGCAGAAATCACTCAAGAAGATTCATCTAATTATATGGGCGTCAAATCACCCTCGGAGAAGATTTCACCAGCAAAAGATACTGAACAAACATTAAAAGATACTCACGATCTTGACCATGACAAATCCACTGCTTCTTCGCAACAAACTGTAGCAGTCCAGCCATCACTACAGAGTCCACCTACGACAACTCACTCAAATTCACCTGCTGCTCAAAATCAGATTCATAAATACCATAACAATCATCCTTCTAATGCTAAAAATTTCATACAGACCCAACAAGTTTGTCCTAAGCCATATCCAAATATTGCACTACAAACTAATGCCCCTAATCAGTCTCCTTCTTTTACTGATCAATCTCTAATAAAAACTACAAACACACCTCTTCCTAAATCTATTAATCCAAATGAAACTCTTGTACCTCTACAAACTCTTCCTTCCTCTGAACAAACAGCTCCATTGTCTGTCAATAAACCAACATTCTCATCGCAAAAATCTGAAAAGGAGTTTTCTGAATCTGAATCTATTGCATCTAAATCTAGCTCTGATCCTACAGGATTGGTAAATATTAAGAACAATGAAATACAATCAGTAGAATCTCTACATATTAATGCCGATTCTCAAAAGCGGTCTATTGAAGATAAACGAAATGAAAGATTCAATGAGCAGTTAAATAAAGTACCAGTGAAAGAGCCGATTGAAAGAAAATCTAGTGGATCAGGATCTGAGAAGAAAGGCCGAGGGTATGGAGGTGGTGGTTATGCCGTCTATAATAGAGGTTGGGGACCACGTGAATCTCGAGGAAGACGTTCACATCGTAGTTCCCGCTCTAATAATAGAGCAAGTGAATCAGAAGGTTCAACAGACGGTGCTCCAAATTCTGAACGCAAAGAACGCCGAAAGGCCCCCCGAAGTCCGCGAGGCCCCAAAAAGTCAGATAGACATGACGACCCCAATCGCCCACCAATGGAACAAATACCACACACATCAGATAATATAGAAAATAGAGAACCATTTGCACCACGAGGGCAGCCTTCTCGACGAGGAAGAGGTGGCTTCCAAGGTGCTTCGCGACCCCCAGCGCCTGCAAAGAGAGTAGCAGGTTATGGGCCACCGAACACCAAAAGCCCCTTTAGTCAAGCCAATAGAGCAGTTAAAGAAAATGAAGATATGAAAGACAATGTTCAATCAGATGACAAAGGGAAAGCACATAACAAACCTAGAGCAGGGTCATCTACTGGTAGAGGTCGCGATCGTCGTCCCAAAGGAGGTCCAAACAGTGGAGAAGATGAAAATTGGGAAACAACTTCTGAACATTCCGAAGGAGGTGGTACAAGTGGTCGGCGTCGATCTCTGGGTGGAAGACAATCTGGTCAAACTCATAAAAGTGGTCAGGGTGGACGAAATCAAAATGCTGGTAATCGCCAGAATAATGCTCGGAACTCGCAAGGAGTGAAGAAAGACACAGTTGGTGATAAGACTACAGATGTTACGGAGGCTATGATTGATCTTAAATTATCGTCAGTGAAAAAAGAAGATGAAGCTGTTGTTGATGATGGATTCCAAGAAGTTCGAAATAAGAAAAATTCTAAGGAAGTAAGAGGCACTTCAGCGAAAGAGGATATCCAACAAACTGTAAAACAACCCAGATCTCATTCCAACCAAGGCGGTGGCCGAAATGGGTCATCGACGAGAAATTCTAGTGATAAATCCAATTCGCGAGGATCTATTCCAGTTTCCGGTAAACCCGTTTCGCAGTATGATCGTCCACGTCAAGCTAACTTAGCTCCGAGGTTTGTCAAGCAAAGACAAAAACAACAGATGGGACTAGTTAGTGGATTCGGGCCAGATACTGGAGCTGCACCGCCTCCACCGCCAGTTAATGCTTGGGACAAACCTATTTCACAAACTTTACGTGGCAATGTTGAGGAACCTGTGGAAACAACCGAGAATAAGTCGGGACAGTCCAGTCAACGTAGCTCTCCTGGAGATGCTCCAGCAGAGGCGAAGACTACACCAGTCGCCTGTACTGCGGTAGCTGCCGACAAAACTGGTGTCTTAGATGGAACTACACCCCCTGTAGAAACCATAATATTCGAGAATACTAATTATAAGACTGCTCCTCCAGCTGAGGCCTTAAAGCAAAAATATCAACCTAGTGCTACCACTGCCAAACCTCAGGGTGAAGAAATAACAACTGAAATTGATACACGACCGGTTTCATTTAATGGTGATGTCAGATCGCGCCCAAGATCTATTCAAGAACTCATATCTGATAATGGCAGACCTGTAAATGATGGAGAAGCAGCTCTAGGTTTACAAATGCCTTTTGACACGACCCAAAAAACGGAAGACTCTTCTGATATGAAACTTGATTTTGCCTTTGACTCTGATTCTCTTGGACAGCTTACTGAAGATAAATCAGCAAAATTAGGATTACCTCGTGGTGTGCATATGAGTACTTCAAACACTATTTCACCATTGGCGGCAGATCTCAATTTAAAAATCGCTAGCGTGAAAAAAGTGTGGGAAATGCCAGCGGTAGCTGAGGGAAGTGAAGAAATACCATTTCCTGGTTTCGAAGAATCTAATGCAGAAACTGGTGCTCCACCAAATGTCTGTAAAGTGAAACCAACTCAACAGTTACAATCACCCCCTCCTCAGCATTACAACCATGTAGGCTATCAAGGAGGATACGGCGGATTATCAGTACCATCCCCACCCGCCGTTTTATTCAATTCTTCTCAACAGTTGTTAGGTTCGTCGCAACAGTTGCAACAGCAAAGCGGCCTTTATGGACCATTCCTTGATCAAAGTCGTGGTCAGTTTGGAGGATTCCCTGGAACACCATATGGTGCTGGTTCAGCAACTCCTTACAATTATCAGCCACCTCCTGATATGTTCCAGAGCCTTCCAAATCAGTATCGAATGGTAAGATTGGTGATTACTGATTGAAAACATTATTTTATTTTGTCTCTTGGGTCTGCCTTTTAATTTAATTTTAAATTATACTAGGCGGCTGCTGCAGGCGGCGGTGCGGCATTCGGCCAGTCGGGACAGCTCGCCAATAGTCCCAGCACTGTTCTGATCTCTAGTACCTCTAATTCTCTCATGTCGGCCACAGTAAAGCCATCAACTCAGCAAATTGGAGCCATTGGTGAGTCCATTACTTTTACATTAGCCAATAAAATTATTGTAATTATTTAATATTATTGAAATGGTAAAAAATCTGCTACCTGGTGGTATGTGGTCATCGTATTCTATATACATAAAGAGACCACAGACATTACGATATTATGTCATGCCCTCATGCGTTGCCATTCCAGAGGATTAAGATATCGTGCCCAATGTCCCGGTAAGCGTTTTGGCGACTGAAATAGGTGAGACTAAGGTATTCACCCATAAAAACTTTTTATAAAACCTACCCTGAAATTGTTCAGTACTTTTTGTTATTACCACCTTGGTCTTGTGTAGTTCAATTTTTTAATACATAACTGTTGTTCTGTCCGCGAGAATTAGGAAATAAGATTATGTCTATATCAAATAATAAAATTTAGATTAATTCATGCTATTAGACATTAAAAGAAGTATATTGAAGTTGTATAAAAGTGTTTATAAATGGAGTGTGTGAATGCAGGCAGTAAAGGCGGCGGTGTCGGCGGGGTGGGCGGCGTAGGCGGCGTGAGCACATACCAGCAGCAGTACCTCGGGTACTCGGGCCCGGTGGGCGAGGCGCCGTACTCGCTGCAGGGCCTGCTGCCGCGGCCCGCGCCGCCGGCCAGCTCCTACTACTCTCCGTACCAGCCGCCGGCCGCGCCCGCGCCCACCTACCCGCTGCAGTTCACGCAGCCCGCGCAGTCCGGTGCTTTCGGATCGCAGTTCATTTCGTCACAGCTGCAGGTCGCTGCCGCCGTCCAGCAGATGCAGGTATGTCTGTTTTCATGTAATTTATCTGTGGTATAGACGCTGGGTTCGAATGTTCGCTAGCGTGTCAAAATATTGCCTTTCTGCACTCCTCCATTATGAACTGTAATTTTTCAATTTCATAAAAAGGGTTAGAAAGTTTTTACGTACAGCGATGCACCCAGCATTAGTTTAGTTAAAAGCATCATTCCTGTGGGCCGTGATTCGTATATGCATGATGGCGATAAACATTGCGTGTCCACAGCAACAATATCGAGCGCCGCTGCAGCAGCAGTACGCGCCGCCGCAGCCTCGGCCGCCGCCGCAGCAGCAGCTCAAGAGTCCGCTACACGAGCACGCCAACGGGTTCGCGCCGCTGTGCGAGTCCGCGTCACCAACTCCCAAGGGCGCGACCAAGCCGCAGAAGCCGCCGCACTCGCCGCCGCAGCACAAGTACCACGCGCCGCCGCCGCACGCCGCCCACGCGCCCCACGCGCCCCACGTGCAACACGTGCAGCACGTGCAGCACCCGCCGCCCGCGCACACGCCGCACCAGCATCACCAGCAGCACCAGCACCAGCAGCAGCACCAGCATCAGCAACAGGTACACCTCTATTTTGTTTGTCGATGTTTGTTACCAAGTAGTCAAATAAAGTTTAGGGAATATGGGCAGTTTAGTTTTTAAATTTAGTATGGTGCTTGATACAAATTTTCAACTCCTTTTTAAGGGATGACATGCCGAAAATGTTATCATTGATACTGTAATTTCGTGACATTGTCATGCTAATATAATGAAGTTCCAAAGTATGTCTGTTTTTCCCCATTCACAACTACTGTTGAACGTATCTTAATAACGTATGATTTTTCTTTTTGTTTATGCAATTGGAATGGCAAACAAGCTGATGACTCATTTGTTGGTAAGTCATAACTGTCGCCTATATACATGAATGGCACCACGAGCGTCACATGATAACGAGATATCATCACATTATCATGTGACGACTGTGGTACTGCTTATACGTTGCCATTTCGAAGAACTACTATTTTATACTATGTTAGTCAGTAATTTACTGCCTTATCGCTCTATTCAAACGAAACAACTTCTAACAAGCTAATTAGCGACAGAAATAGGTTACTACTTTTACTAATTCTACTTCTGTTAGTCATGTAGATATAATACAATGTACCTACGATTGTATTTGGGCGGACATTTTTTGTGTCTAAAAATAATATGGAAAAGTATGAAATAGGAGTTGAAAATTTAGTTAATGTAGTTAGTATATAAGTTCTATTTTTTTACAAACCTTACTCGAAACTTTCAAGAAAACCTTTTATGAAAATTTAAATTATTAATCGGGTCTTAACACGAATAATTTTATGGCAAATAAAGGTATTTACCTCTCTCGACGTTTCGACTAGGTTGCACTAGCCGTGGTCACGAGCTGACTAGAGTAACAGCGATGTCAATGTAGATAGGTGACAGCAGATTTTTCTTCATCTACCGTCACTAGATTGTTTAACGAAAGTTCGCGACGCACAGCAATCACGGTATCCGTACACTTATTGACTATTGATGCTACTGAACTTTACTTGAATTTATTTATGACTGGATTCCACACAGATGATAATTTTAAGCCATCCTCTCTGTTGAAATTGGGATATTTTTTAATTTCATTCGCCTCCCAGACCATTCGTGGGTAATAGTGGCGATCAGTAGACAGGACCTTAAAATTATCATCTGTGTGGAATCCAGTCATAAATAAATTCAAGTAAAGTTCAGTAACATCAATAGTCAATAAGTGTACGGATACCGTGAGTGCTGTGCGTCGCGAACTTTCGTTAAACAATCTAGTGACGGTAGATGAAGAAAAATCTGCTGTCACCTATCTACATTGACATCGCTGTTACTCCAGTCAGCTCGTGACCACGGCTAGTGCAACCTAGTCGAAACGTCGAGAGAGGCAAATACCTTTATTTGCCATAAAATTATTCGTGTTAAGACCCGGTTAATAATTTAAATAATGTATATTAAACACGAAAGTTTAAAATTAACCTTTTATGAAAATTTACCAGTTTTGAGCTCATTTTATTGTTATTCTTGTTATAATGACCATAAAATGTATCAATGCTAACCCCACATTTTTTAACATTAATACTTTGCATGATTATTTCAACAAGAATAAAAACAAAATGATAAAGTATCGTTAGAATGACGTATGGTGTGGTGTTTGGTGGGTGATCTGTGATCGGTGGGTGTGATGTGCGGGTGGTCGTGCAGATGATGGGCGGCGGCAACAGCGGGCGGTGCGCGGGCGGCGGCATGTCGCGCGGCGGGCTGGTGGCGCCGCGGTACCCCGCGCCCATACAGCGCCCGCCCGCGCTGCCGCTCTACAGGCCCCCCGCGCCCGCGCCCGCGCCCGCACCCCCGCCCCGCGCGCACCACGCGCCGCGCGCCAACACCTACTACCACCACCACCAGCGCAGTCAGTATATACACACTACTACACACTGAACTCCGACCGCTCGGAGTTATCTAAAGTAAAGTAATAGTAAAGTTATATAGCCCATTCGATCCCGACCTGTCAGAAACGGGTCGGGATCGCATGGACGATGTAACTTTGAAGTGTACAGTTTACGACAAAATATTATCAGAAACGGCGCAGTTTTATGTGGTTTGACTTGTAAACACTACTGTTTTTATATTTGTTAAGTAGTTAATGATGAATAATTGTTGCCCAAAATTAACACGTTTATTATAGGTTGTAGTAATTATTAAATTTTTAATGTTATCACTCATTTAATAAGGCAAATAAAAGATATTTAAAATGTTGCCGTACATTGTACGTCAGTTCAAAGTTACATCGCCCATTCGATCCCGAACTGTCAGAAATAACTCTGAGCAGGCGGACTGGACTGGACTACATACTATCAGGCTCGTTTTCATATTTGGGTACATTAACACAATTTGACGAAATTGTATTATTGATTTCGAAAGTGCATTACGATGGTTATAACATACTCTGAACCTGGCAAGGGCAGATTGTGTCAAATACGCACGTATGGTATATTGTACGATGTTTTTTGAAATAAACTTATACCATAAAACTGTAATGTACACAGTTGCTTTCCTGCCGTTTTATTTGGAAGGGACAAAAAATACTATTTATATAAAAATTTTTCTACATTAATAGTTATCACACAACAGATATCTCAAATGTTAAGCTTTTCTCCCAAATTTGAAAACGAGCCACTACCGCGCCTCTTGCACAACACTTTAACACTTAGACCACGTTCACACTAAGGCGGTCTGACCATTTTGATGGATTAGATGTACTCTAGTACTAATGGTAATCTCTTTTCAGTATTATAGAATGCGATATTTAGAAGTATCCACTAGATAATTTGCCCTTTTTATTTTAACGACGCCAATATTAGAGTTGCTAGACAGAGTTGCTTATAAAATATATCAAAAAAGCGAGGTAGTAAATGCCTATAATGACTATACAAATACTTTACCTAGTTGCTCTTGCAACTAGTTAAAGTACCTACTTGAAAAATAATTGTTTTCTCTCTTAAAATTGACATTTAGAAGGGTTTTTAATTTATGAAGAATAGGATAGAAAATCATTTATTCAAATAAACTTAATTTAAGCACTTTTTTTTTTTAAATCTACCGGTTTTTCGGAAAACTGTCTCATCACAAGAAGAATAAGCAAGAAACTTGTGTGTTGCTCTTTTAAACAATCCTTGTAAGTTCATATTTTACAAGTCGAAATGTGTGAATACAAACTAACAACCAGCACTAATTCATTTAGGCTCAAATATTAAAACACAATAAGATTAAATCAGTCGTAGTGATAAGAGCAGACCAGTCCCTACAAGCAGCACTCGTTCACGAGTATGACGGATGAGCCAGCCGTCACTGCGCTCGACCATATTTTAGGGAGCCCAATGACCCGGCCCACCACGCCGCCACATATCTGGACATTTTAGTGAGCATGACTACTCATTCCACTCGACCTCGTCATAGCTACTTATTTAAATTTATTATATGGTAGTTACAGTATTCGCCCATAAGGATGCTTGCGGCAATCACTACAAAAGCCGCTACGCTATCATATTTCAAGAAAGCATATTGCACAAGAAATTATAACGTTGTCCGCTAAAAATATTATTCTTGCTAGATATTGCTGTCATCTATGAATTCATCTATCCTATAATGAATGAATTGTTACTATCTATATAAATAGAATTAAATGCGTTGATATGGTCCGAATGCCATAATGAGAAAGGAGCCTTGTCGAAATTCTTTATATGATTAAGAGTTAAGCGTTTGTGAGTCATTCAGAATTGGTATTTTAGACGGCGCAGGCAGCAACGAGCGATCGCCGGAGAGCAGCGAGGCGGCGGTAGCGGCGGACGAGCCCGCCGAGGTGGCCGTGCCGGCCGAGACGCCCGCCGCCGCCGAGGTGAAGGCCGAGTGAACGACTCCTCGAGGACTCGGTCTCCAGCTCTCGCCGACTCCAGCCGCCTTCCACTCGGACGCGGCACGCTCGGCCCGTTGGGCTACTCTCACTGTCCCTCGGACGTCGCCGAGCTCGGCTTTAGGTTTTCGGTATTTTAATTAAGTCGTAAATTATGGAAGTGATTATAGAATTCGATTAAGATGTGTACGGATCGACGCGCCGCCCGTCGCGTACTCGGGCGGCCGACGTCGGCCGTGGGATCCGGCAGCTCCGCCTCTCGGGCCGGCTCCGGCGGCCGAGTGATGCGATGCGCGAGAGGCGCTCTGTTTGTAAATATATTGATCGGACGGACATCCGGCTGTCTATTTGACTGTTACATTTAAGTATATAAACGCGAACGGTCGGCGGCCTCGTTCGCTCGATCGACCGGCGTACCGCGAGGACTTGACGTCCGACTGACCGATGCTGCCTCGAGACCTCTCACTAGTGAATATGTAGCGACGGATTTTGCAGAAGAAATGTCGATGCAATATAAATGAATAATAAATGTAATTTGGAGCTAAAGCGTCATAGTGCCGCTCCGCATGTGCGGAGCCACTAGCGTTTGAGCTCCATGTATCATAACCAATTATTATAATATGCGAATAAAATTATTATGACCGAATGAAGTATTATTTATTTTGGTATATGTTATAAACTCATTATACATAATAAAAACCAGGAGAATTGTCATACCTTTGTCTAATATGTTGTGTATAATTGTTTCCGACACATCAAGCATCAACACACACAACAAGGGCGAGGTAAGAAACCTACCTTTCCTTCCCAACGATTATCGCTAAACCTATTAAGCTATTTAAATGCTGTAGTATAAATTTGCAGTAAGAAACAGATAGTTGATTATAAATGTTTTAAATATTTCAATTAATAGCTTGTAAACAATTTAAAAAAATATTAACAATCATGAATTGGTAATTATAATTAAAAAGTCTTATAACGCTATAACTACTACTTACTACCAGGCTTTGATGGCCCAATGTTTAGGAATATTTATACCTATACATACTATTTTTAATGAGTAATTTTGGAATGGTGCACCAGTAATATTACTGACATACCGCAATGAACATATAAATAAAGAGAATATATATTAAGTTTAATATACTAATACAAAAAGTTAATAATATCAATATGCTTGTAGTGGTATTAGATACTTCACAACTTCTGGGGTAACAAGTTTCTTGGCTTATTCTTAATACTACTGCGAAAATTAATTACATATTTAGGTTTTAAATTTGTCCAGAAAATCGTACAAGTCTATCCTTCCGCAACATTAGTTTGTTTTCAACATTCAAGTTTTGTAAACAACATTAGCTCCATTTATTACCTACAGGTATGTAGATAAACACGACCCATCTAGATTGGGACGTATTTATTCATTTTTTTTATCGAATTTATTTTTGATCGCTACCACGACTTGTAAAAAACTAAGAAAAGAAAGATAATAACTTTCCGTCACTTCACATAATATGATGATCATCACATGCTGTGACATTGAAGCGTTAGAATTTAATTTTCACAGAATATGTTGTCAAATGAGTGTCAAATCAACATGTACGCTAAAGAAACCTTGGAAGAATACTCATCAAAGTTGTAATTAGTAGTTTTTTTAAGTAATATTTAACTAGTTTCTGTCATTGAAACTTCATTCCATCGATTTTCAATATGTGGTCAAAAGAATCTTGTTCAATCGAGAGAGGTAAATACCTTTATTTGCCATAAAATATTCGTGTTAAGATCCGATTAATAATTTAAAGAATCTTGTTCAATTCAGCGCTAAGAAGATACAAGTGATGGTACCCAAATCCAGTGACGTTCAGTTTTGCGGTCATTCGGAGAACAAGGCTAAAATAGCGTCTAAAAAGTTGGGTGTGCGACAGTATTTCACGTAAAATCGGCCTATAAAAATGTTCAGCGATAAGACGCTGAATGGGAGCACTACAATATCGGTTACTTCCATTTGACTGCACTCGGAACCGAGCAGCCAGAATCATTAGTAATCAACATCCTTGTGACAGACTCGACCCATTCATTGGCTTTGCGATGAGACATTGTATCTCTGTGCGTATTCTACCGCATTTATCACAGAGAATATTCTGAGGAATTATTCGGATTAATACCGGGCTACTGAGTATCACCATTGCACTATCTAAAAACTTCAAGAAAAGAGCTTATCTTCCTTAAAAGGCCGGCAACGCACTTGCAACTTCCCTTGCGTCCTAGTTTGTCTCCTAAATTATAAAAAAGGCGGCCATCTATTGTTTATTAATAAAATATCAGTTTTGTATCAATTCATTATTTCAATCTACCGTACAGTAACAAATCAGCAGTTCGATTCTCGCCGATCGTTGCGGGAGAGTAGTCTTATTTTACTTTCGTTATTTTCACTCTACCAAAAAAAATTATTCTATTATTTATAACTAACAAAACTACTTGTCCTTACCGCAGCGTACGCACTCATTCTTTCAAATCATTAAATATATTTATCTTCATTCGTAATTCTAAACAGACAGTGATTATGTCTATATAGAGAAAAACAGTCATTGTTCGCCTTTGTCTGTTTTCCCGCTTCTATATAGGATTCGTTCTGTTATTTGTTTACAACTACCACAGATAAGAATATTCTAGTATTAAATCCTTGTCAACATATTCGTCAATTTAAGACTTCTGAGTCATTATTTTGTTTAATGGGTGGTAATTGATGATTGATTCACCCGTCTACGCTATACTATATGTACTATATTATACTTCGGTATATCCTAACGAGGCACTTAGAGGATGAAAAGAAGAGCATAAGTTCGTATGACATAATTTCTGAATAGGGTTCATTCAGAAATTAGGTACGTCACACGAATTTATACAATCTCCTAATCCTGGAAAATATTGTGGTTAATTCCTGGTGAATACGCCAACAGGGGCTAACTATTTATTTAATTATTTTGTCATGATTGAAAAATGTCAAAGGTTAAAATCTATTTCTAATTTGTATAGATACCTCATAACAAAGGTACACAGATACTTATAAAATGTAGTAGAATTATTCTAAAGCTATTGGATGTCGGTTGAAAATAGTACCTTAGGCCACGTGTAAACAACAAGGGGTAACGTCCCGTCGCACAGTCGTCGCGTCTCCAGTCGACAGGATTGGAACAAAGAGTATGCAACCACGTCTGGCTGTTGACCTCTCATGAAAATTGATGAATTTCAAATAAAATTTAAGCTTAAATGTAATATACTCAATTATATAAGAAACATTGGAGTATATAATATGTAGAGCATAGTCATTAGAACCAATACTGATAGTAAATAAATTTAAGCTTTGAAATTAAATTTCAATTTCACGTAACAAATCGAGACCAAAATTTACACATATAATTATAGCCACCTAGCCATTTCAGAGATTAGCCGGAAGAAACAGACAGACAAAAATTGTAAAAAAAATGCAATTTCGTGTGTACCGATTTATATTCATATCCATGTACTAAAAAACGGTTATTTCAATATTACAAACAATCACTCCAATTTTATTTAGTTTCCGCAGGACTAATTCGTGATATATGATTTCAGATGGATATCCATATGTAGGTACAATGTTATCATTATAATAATCATAAAAACTCTAAAATGTAGCAGCTAACTAAACGTAAGTTAGTTGTAATATGGAGTGACGAGCTAAATAAAGCCATTCTGGTTAACGATCAACTAATAACGACTAGTCGTCCGTAATTGCTATATAATGAAGTAAGTACTAAATGTGTACAGAACTTTTTATCATCTCGGTGCTTTCTATCCAGTGCGATGGGTTATTTTTCTAAGGATTCTTACGCCATTTAGACCGTATAAGTACTTATGTAATACTTTCTTACCTGTGATATAACTAACAAAAGATGAACCACATTTTAACCAACCCACCTCTCACATTCCACCTACTCGAGCCTCACAATTATGTCGTTTTGTAGCATTTCGTTCGCTTTAATCCTTAAAGACGGTTTTAGCAAAAAAAAAAAACAACGAGCTATTTATACGTCGAGTGTATTTTTTTTATATAATTGAATAAATGTTAACATATATTATAAACATGTAACGTAAATATTGACTTTCCCCACTCTCTCCATTTGCTTAACTTTAACTGTGTCAAATTAAAAAATACATTTTTTTTTATTTGACACAGTTAAGGGTTTCCTGCAATCTTTTATTTTACTCATATTATGATATATCGGAGGAGTTTACTTTTCCAAACCGTAAATGGGTATCACAAAGAGACCAATCCTTATGGATGCGATTTGGTGCAGTATTTCACTATAGGTACCACATAGTAAGACAAATTAAAAGATTAAATGAAAATATTTTATCCACAGTATCATAAATACCACTTTACCTACTTATAATCTTTAATCCTAGTGTCATCCTGACAGGAAATTTATTAGGAGCGTTCTCAACAAAACGTAGGTAGGTACCTTTATAATTGAATGTTTATAGTGAGTTGTTAGTCTGTGACTAAGTTCACTTTTGTGGTAGATATCTTTCTAACCATTGCATGCCGCACAATACAATAGTATGAAGTACTATTTAGCTTTGTTCGTATTTTAGTGACTCAGTCGGTTAATTCAGTCAGTTTAGTTGTCGTGCAACAGCTATTGAGCATAGTCGCATGTCGAGCGCTGCACCGCTCGGAGTTTTACTCGCTATACCTTTCACTTTTGTTCGTATCGTAAAGGATAAACAAATAATAAAATAAACAATACGAAAGCATTGATACCATTCATTTATAAATGTATATCTCAACAATGACCTTAGTGCTCAATTTAATGATTTGTATCTAATTATACTCGAAAAGTGCTGATTGTGTTTTTCTGTCGTGGACGTTATCTACTCACATCCAATACGAATTAGCAATGAAATTTACCACGTGCGACTTTAATACTTATTACTTAGTATTATATATTTAAGAGCCAAATTTTTCGTACTTCGGGATTATATATACATTCGTGTTTAATTCATACCTGTCGACCGTAAACAGTTCAAAAAGTGAAACAGCTACGTGCAAACGTAAAAAAGGGCGCACATCGTAGAATAATTGTGCTCTGTGGAGCACTCATTGAGACTCGAACGGTATGGAGAAAGAATATGGTGAGTTGTAAAGGCTGATATGTAAAATAATGTTATGGAAACAAATATATATTGTAGTAGATATCTACCTACCATAAAAATATTTAGATGCAATAAAAACAAAAGTTATGAAAGTAGGCACTTTCAACTATTAAATTTACTTTGATTCTTGAAACCTAGACGTTTTCAATTTAAGTATACTCTATTTACAAAAACATGTGTATAAATTAGTTTCTATAATAAATACCACAGTTTTACCTACTAGGCATGCAATATATTTGTACTAAAAGTAATTGATACAAAGGAAAAGTTAATAATAACGCAATAAATTAACCAATTATGAATCAATAGACTTTATAAGTTAATAATCTTATACAGTTGTAACTGTTAATAAAATCTGAATTTATATAAAAAAAAATCTTTATTGACGACTTCAAAAATAACCAATATCAACTGAAACCGTATTCAATTCATTTTCCAAGTATCTAGTCAGAAACAAATCCGGTTCTCGTGACTAGAGGATATTATATACTGGTAATCATAAAAACAAAATACAAGTTTATAGACTAGTGGTAATACTTGCTTCCACAAATTACCTTGTTCATGTACTCCATCTACTTAACTCGTAAGTGGATGTAATTATTGTTAATTATTCCCACTTAGAAAGAATAAACTTGGTAGATGAAATATGAGTGGATACTCGAATCATACAACAGACGGACACGAAGTAGAACCACAGTAAATAACTAGTCTTTGTCCAGTCCAACATGTGAGTAAGTTTCCGGTCAATGCCCGTCGCGACGGCGGGCGTACTATAAACTTGTACAATTCAATAAAATCGCATCAAAATTGTTTACACCACTTTTCTGGCAACGACTATTTAATAATGGTCTACCTTAATAAGGCGGATTCTATCCCCGTATTAACATTAACATTGAATTTCTAAGTGCCTGTATCTATTGTATTTGTATTGGTCATAATGTTTTCTATAAATCTACCTAATGGTAAATAGCTACAAGATAATATTCTATTAAACATATATAATATACATCCGTACATATAATATAATATACATCTTTACACATATGAATTATGCAAATCGAGAGTAAGTACTTAGATACTATAAGATAATTATTTTTCGTTTCGTTCAAATCGATATGTTATGCTATGGCAATTATTATGTGTAGAACTAAACCGCATATAGACGCTTAATTAGTATTTATGTATTATGTATACGCTTCTTGACATTCTACCTAAATTAGCTAAATAGTGGTTTATTATTAGTAGTACAAGTTATTAGTGCTTCATAAAAAGTTATTTAAATCACATAATTATTATAAAAAAAATATAATTTTTATAAAGTAAAAAATATTTGACGGACAAATCTATTGGTATATTCAGAGTTAGTTACTTCCGAGGCCCATTAATATTGGATAGGGTTCTCGTATCGCATGCGACTTAGGCCCTAACTTTAAAACATCCTTGGCGACAATAATTCATTTATTCATTCTGATGGTAATATCACAGATCAGATATTACATTCGCCTATTACATAGTAATATTATATGTAACTTTATTAATTTTCATAAAAAGAAGTTAAATTCCACCCGGACGAAGTCACACTAGTATAAAAATAAATATTTAAAATAGAACTAAATGACATTAAACAGCACATTTCATACCTTTTTATTCTCTTGAATTATACATTAACAAAGTATTGATTCCATGATTTCCTATATTCGATAATATAATAATAACCCGGGACATTTCACACAGCACCATGTAGTCCCAAAATAAGCAGATCTTGTGTTATGCGTATATATTGTATAGACAACTGATATAAAAATGCTTAAACACATTTTTAATACTATAATGATGAATACATACATAATATACATAGAAAACACTCTTACTCATTAATACAAATTTTAACAACGTGCGAGGTTTCGAACCCACGACCATTGAAAGTAGAGCGGTGTGCTAGACCACTGAGGTCATCCTTTAATATAATTTACGATATTGTGATTAAAACATCAAAACAATCTTGCGGTTGTGTTAAGCTATTATAGATACCCATATATATTATTGGTTTTATTGAATATATTATTAAAAACCAATAAACAAAATCTTTATCATAAATGAAACAAAAAACATTGTTAATCTCACTCATCACTCACTTTGTGACTAATTAATTACTCATGGTTAACTAGTTTTATTTGGTACATATAATTTAGTAAGTATCTACTACTGTCGAAGAAGGCATTGTAACGACCGAGGCATGGTTAAATCAATACATGCAATTATCGATATCCAGCTTTTAGGTACTCGCGACTTCATCTACTCTTGGTTAATATATATATAAAGAAGATAATATCTTCATTTTCCGTTCAGTCGTTTATCCGTTTAGAAAATGTAACAGACAGACAAACATACTTTCGAACTTACTGTTAGTATATATATATAGATCTTACAAAATATCATGCAGTGCGGAAATCATATTTGGCGTAGTGCCATGGATATAGACTTGTAAAATTTCACCAAAATTTTATATTGTTTGATACGTAACATCACGGTCCTTATTTTAAATTATCACATGTATAGTAAATAGTAATCATAACATTACCAGTAAATATTCCTTAGCCGCTTTTCCTGCTGCGATTATATTATTAAAGCATATGTAAGATACCTCCAGTGACCTAAGATAATAAGGAGTCTATGGACAAAAGTAATTAATTTACTTTCCCAATAAATTCCACGGGAGGTCTCTGAGTAATAAATATTATCTCTACATTAATAATTATTATTTATTATTGGGTATAGTACGTACGATGACACCACTTACAAGTAATATGTTTTGAACCAAACAACAAAAACTTAATAATTCTCCATTCAATCTTATCACGGAACAATAAAAAAAGTCATTATTGGTATGACAAAGGAAAATCATTTTTAATTAAAAATATAAATTATAAAAATTATGCTACGTAGGGGAGATGGAGGTAAGATGGGGTAGTGGGTAAGACGGGGTACCCACCAAAATTTACAGTTCAAATTGATCAATCACGCTCTTTCAATCATCGTGCGACGCGCCACCATCAGACTTATCAGTCGCCGTGTGTTTAGTGGTTCACAAGTGCACAGTGTCGAAAAAAATGCAAAATAAGTGTTTTATTGCAAGTTGCTTATCACATTTTCTTCTGGCTTAACACGTGACTGTGGTTTGTTAAATAACGTTAGCTGGTGAGGTGTTGTTGTGATTGATGCTTAAACTAATCTATAAAAAAGTAGGCATTGTGTTCTTTAAATATTATTGACTGTTTTGTTTTTATTTATTTTTTTATATAAAAGGGCTCTGCAGGCAAGATGGGGTAACTGATGAGAATAATTTGGTTCTAGTTTGTTTTCCGAAAAATGAGTTCGTTTTTGTGAGTTTGTCTTTTTAGAATGATTCTACGATTAACGTCGTCGGTCGTGATCCGAAGAATCCATGCGGGAAGCGAAGAGTTCAAGCGGTTTTGGATGAAAAAATGGGTTATAGAGAGAAAAGTTAAAGCTTCCTAAGGAAATTCTCTCGTGTTGCTAAAAAGCGTGGACACACAGCAATTATCATGTCGCCTCCTACAAAAAAGAATTAGAAGTTATCGCCCACAAAAAAAAACAGAGCTGAACAGAAAAACTATAGAAAATAGAAACAAAAAAGAGAAAAGATGAATATAAAAAAAAAAACAGAAGAAAACTACTACAAAAGATCAAAATAAAAAATTAAAGAAGAATAGCCGATCATCGAAAACAGCAAAACAATGAAGAGTTTCAACATCTGAAGATGAAAGTGAAGATGGGGGAACACACCATGTATGTATTGTGATGAAGTTTGTTCCGTTTCCATTGAAGGGTGGATATCATGCTCATTAAGTGGAAGATGGTCTCATAATAGCTGCGTAGAAATAAGATGATGATGATGATGATGAAGTCATCCATGTCTACGTGTTCTACCAGCTCGAATAATCATCGTTCTACAGAGATCATAGGATCATTCTCATCACCCCATCTTACCTCAGGGGGGTACCCCATCTTACCAGCACCATGGGGCAAGACGGGGCAAAACACCTTTTTTTTTATTTTATTTTTTTCTCTCAAATGTGTTACCTAAAGTTCCTAATGACACCAAATATAAGAATAATAATAATTAGTTGTTATTTAAAAAATAAATATGATTGTTTCACTATGTATTTTTTTATATTACAGACTTTTAAAGCTTAAGTACCCCATCTTGCCACCACACTCCCCTACCTATTTAAAATATTCTGTTAAAATTAGTAAGTTAATATTTTATGTTTAAGGAAAAGTCACTGAATTGTGTTTTTCCCTAAGATTGTTTCGGTATAACCAGTGTAACCAAAATAACTATACCACAAATCAATTCTTCAAAATAATAAATTTTAATCATAGTAGCAATACAACACACCACATTTTATAAGAGTTAGCAATAGGTAGCACACAGCACTATTATGAAAACAAAATCAATATTGCATATTTGTACCTAACTATTTTATAGTTCGAAAAAGGAACTTAACAGTTTCATTAAAAAAATATTAAATTTAAATAATGTGACATCGGCTGGCACATGGCTTTATCTTTTAAAATTAATCTACACAGACATTTGTTTGCTATAGAAATGGTAACACATCATCATCATTCATAAATATTGAACACACAAAGACATTGATTGCGGTTTGCATATAATTGATTAAATATTATAATACAAATTTATTTAAATAAATAATTGTATCATTCAAGCGTACCTAAGTTAGCATTATTAAGTAGAATATATAGAAACATTATACAAAATGGCAGTATTGAATAACCTAAAATAAACAGTGTATGTAGGTACAAATTATGAACTGGAAGAAATATTTTTATGTGAATTACAAATTATTTATGCAATAACTTCGGTACTAACTAATCAGTCTTCAGATAAATTAGGTAGAGAAGAAAAATTCTTAAACTCTAGCTAGCCATGG